TCCACCTGTCCATCACCCATGATAAGGCCAACGGGCAGATCCCGTGCCGGCGGGGGGGATCGTACCTATTTACGGAGGAGATAATCAAAAGAGCCAATGATGTTCCGTCGTAACCGAGATTTCGAGGGTGGCTCCTCCTGGTGAGCCCCTCAGGCTACGGAGTAAACAGGTTGTTGGGTCAAGCTAAGTGACCGGGGAGTGATTCACCTGGTTTAGAATCACCTACCGTTTGTTGGGAATCTTTGCAGGGTGCTGAAGGATGCCAAAGAAGAAAAGCAATGATACATGCGCAATCTACGGTGAGGATACGTAGCTCTACACTTATCGAACGCTTGATATGGAATCAAGAAAACCCCACGCAGTTACCAATGATGCAGTGCAAAGCCCTATTGCGTCATTGCAAAAAGCCGGATAGTGGTGTATGGATTAAAAGTCTCCGGGACTGCTAGGAACAGGATGGAGGGGGGTGATTAAGTGGAGTTTGAGGGAGGGGTTCGAAATCGAGCCCAAGAATGGGTCACGTTGGACTGCCCGGGCCGGTTGGTCTAAGGGGGATGGATACTCAGCTAATGATAGGTGGTGGAAGGCCTTGGGGCTTGAGGTTTTCGTCATCCGTAGTACTTTGTGTGCAATGGTTTCAAGGACGGTTTACTGTCAGTGTCAACTGGCCAATGTAACATTCTTAGGACATTGGGCCCTCATAGACACTAGCGACATTGTCCATTTTCCCAAAAAGGGAATCTCAAAAGAGTTGCCTGTCTGCCTTTGAAAGCTAAGGCCGTCACTTCGGAAATCATTGTCTGTTCTGTCACTAGCGCTTTATCCTTTTTCGGTCGATTCTTATGCTCATTGCAGAGTGCCAAGGAAATAGTGACAGGCTTCATAGTTTAAGAAATTTGATTGCACCGTCGATCAGGCATAAAGTACGGGAAAACTGATAGTCAAAAACTCACAACCCAATGGAATAGCGGGAAAAGTGGATAGTAGCAGGGCACGGCCCGGGGAGCGCGGTCCGAACGTCGCCAACGCTTGTCATCAACACCAAATACGATAGGCGATGTCAATCCTCCAGGAGTCCAGACTCCGCACCGTCCACCTGATACTCGCACACTGACACTAGCACTGACGGACATGCGCAATCATTGGAGTGCCAGCCGCGATCTCTTGTCCGTAGCCTGAGGAACCGATCCGGTTTCCCTTCCCCTGGGTTACGCTAACAGCACTTATTTCACAAGTTGTCGCCGTGCATTCTCTAAAATTCGGCACAAAAGTACTGCCTGTGCAATTGCCTACCTCACTCCTTTCCCCTGCATCAGGCTTTTTCCGGTGTCAGGAACGGGGATCCAAGTGCCAGGTAGATGGGATGAGCTCCCTTGCAAGGCGACGCAAATCCCAGCCATGTCAGCCACATGCTATCGTATCTTCTCACTACTTCTCTGACAGCGAGAAATGAAGGGCCAAAGCCATATTTTGTGGTGCATCTCCGTGGATTCGAGGCTTGCAGAGAGTTGACAAATACTGGGAGTCCGGCTCCGGGCCTCCGGCATCGTGGCTGGCTCCAGGGATTTGAAGATGCTGCGAGTTGGAAGAACTGCGACATAAGTACTCAGGCACACCTGATTCAAATGAAGCCGCTGCAAGCGTGGAACAGCCAGATGGGGCATGTGCAGTGCGCCATCACCACATGGGATAGAGGGCCCAAGTCCTGTCTCAAAATGGCTTTCTCGTCTACAGTTTCATGACGGCACTCCATATTGAAATAGTTTGCTAAACCAGTATTGTCTGGCACGAGGAAACCTGATTCCACATATCAATGACGACTTTTCCAATATTGAATCGCACGAGAAACCTGGTTTCCGGGTGCGCAGCCAGCTGCGATCATCCTGGTGGTGATAGAGATGAGATATATTTCATAAACACCCATCGCCCATGCGACCGGGCCGAGCCTCTGCAGAATTGAGCATGCGAGTCACCGGTGGGGATTAGGGCGTCTGTTGTGCGACATGATTCCTGTGCGTAGTCAGAGTAACCGCGGATATGGGGTATTGTACCTTACTGCAGATTATGAGCAATAATAAATGGCATACATATGACACATGTTTCTCCTCGAGATGACTATTGATTCGACTGGTGAGAAGATATTTTCCGACTGGATTAACTATGCGATGAAATAAGCCTGGTCATGTCTCGATTGATTCATGACCTAGTCCGTACGCTAGTTATTCTAGAGTTTTTCCGTGGAATGCTGCAAAGTGCAAACATCCAATGTCGATTGCACCACAGCAGATATGGTCTCTGGTATATTCTGCGGATGATCATCATAACGATTTGGTAGTATCCAAGATCGGGGTGCTAGAATTTAGAGTGGAACACAAGACTCATATACGTAAGCCATTTCACTCTCATTTTATGTATCAAATCTGCTGTACGCCTCTGCCATGTATGGACCATGGTCCGCCGGCGATTTAAGTTGCGGGTATGGCCGGAAGGCCAACTGAACCATGGAACCGCTAGTATAGTCTGGTGAACTGTACTTAATGGCCACAGCCAGTTGTCACTCCCCACCTGCAAATCTATGGAGATGTGAATCTGAGATGATCAACGTTAGATGCGCCAGTAGTATTCTCTGTTATTGATTTCTTCTGACGAACCCATCAGGAAGCACAACATTATTAAGTGGATTACATATACTTACGCATGGCAGGAAGCAGCTTCTTGTTACACCATATTAACCATATTAAATAGTTCGTCTACCCACACAATTACCTTAGCAGCGCCTAGTATCCAATAACCTGAAACTTGTACACAACATCCGAAACTACCAATCAACGCCTGTCGCCTGTCCCCTGCCGAATTAAGTGCTAAGTATAGACCTAACCGCACAGAGTCAGCATCATGCAGTAGCCATAGGCTAACTTACTCGATACATCCCTGTTCCTGCTGGCCGACTGGCCGAGAAGCAACAAGCTGGTACTCCGGGATGTGGGACATGCATGCATTTAACTCAGGATGATTTGCCGCAAGTTATCCGCCGAATGTACCGACTGCGGACAAGTCTGAATAAAGCGTTAGGGAATCCGGGAGGCTATATAGAGTAGGGATCATCCTTTTCAAATGGAGTGCAGAATAGATACCATGGATCCAGATAAATCTATCATTTACGTGTTAACAAGACTAGATACCAAATTTACACTGGAATATGAGGACCTTTTGAGATAGACGCTATAGATGACTGCTACTGATGCCATTTACGACGGCATTTCCACCTGCACGGGCTAACCGCTTGTACATTTCCTCCAGGCTCTCTACAGCCTTTGCCTCATCACGGGTCGATGTATAGGCGCTCCTCAGGCGGTCCCGCCACCGCTTGAATAACATCTCCCATCTTGTGTCGATTACTGTGGGGTAGATGCGGGGCAAAATAGAAGTTGCCGGCATGCATTGTTTCGGCGAATTTGGCTCTGTCAGTTACAATCTTCTCAGCAGTGTCTACGGAGCAGCCCAATGGCCAATTTCGAGCACCCATACGCCATGAATAAGTATGCATAGCTGAATTCAACCCGTACACACTTTCTGCAGAGCGTCTGGCAGAGAGGCGTTAAACATTCTAATGAGACACTGAGGCTATATAGCGAACCCCCGGCCATATGGGCTTGATTTGCTCTGACAAAGCCTCCCGTTTTCATAAATGAATTCGCCGTCCATGCAAAGCCAAAGCTATGAGCACGTACGCTGCTAATTCCGCGAATTCTGTACCTCGGAGTAGGTCTTTGACGCCTCCCAGGAAGTTACTTGCTTCAGCGTCCATGTCGAACTTAAGCAAATAGGATGTGCAAGTCATCCATCAACTGTTTGGCTTGATTTTGGCAGGTTTGACTCAACATCGCCATGAAACTCGGCTGGACAAGTGTTAGTATCTATGGTTTCCAACCGATTTCGCCCGTATTCGAGACACTGTTGGTCACATATACAAGAGGGCAACTTTTAGTGGGATTGCGCGTTGACAAACGGCGTGTAATTTAGGAATATAAATTGAAGCCGCTGCCTGGGGCACTTCGCCCAAGAATCGACTCTCTTGATTGACCCTCTCGATTGCATTGTACGTGAGAGCCCAGTCGTAACTGCACATCCATCCTGCACAATAATGTAGCCAACCAGGCAGTGGGATAATGTGGCTGGCCCTGCAGCTCTTGCAGAGAAGGTGGGCTCTATCTCCATAAGCTCGACTACACACTCATAACAGACTCATAGGGAAGGTGCGCTCTGCAGCGGTGGCGACCTAATCGAGACACACTAGTTAATCAAATTTTAATCGATTAAACTATCAACCAATATTACCTAGACAGTGAAATTATTAAGTGAAAGAACTACATTCAGCGGAGCATCCAGTCTTATGAAGTCCAGATAAGTACCTTCCATCTTCTTTGGATACCCCCATATCTATTACTGTACTTGATTCCTGCAACTAGATTAGATGGCTAAAGCAAGTGGATCAGGAACAAAAGACCTATACAGAAAAATGGCTGAGGAATTCCAGGAACAGCATCCTAGGGAACGAGTTCCGGCACTGCTGGCACGGAGATATAACCCGATTGAGGATATCAATGCGATGCTATTCTCTCCTCAATTGAATGATCGACGTGCAGAGTGGGAAAGCATGTTGAACAAGACCCCCTCCACTGCGACGCTCAGATCAAGCCCACACAGGTTATGATGAAATCTCCACCGATTTATGGTTTGAGGTTCCTGAAATCGCCGAAGACTCAGACACCTTTATCTCTATCTTCATGCTTCATGTGCCTCGAATCGAACATGTTCGTGTCCACCGAGAAAGGTAACATCTTGCAAGAGCAGCCGGCAACTCGACAAACTGGTTCCGGTAGCTGGAGTCCGCACCGGACAATCCCTCGCTGCCAGCTGTCATGGACCCATCGACTATATATGCATGTCACTGGTAGGATCATGGGGATATCCGCCTTTCATCAATGCCAGTGTCGTACAGCTTCTCAGCCATCGCACAATCATTTAACTATTCTGTTGTATGAACCCTACAGCCACGGACTCGGTGATGGATCGACTCGACTATGCGAGCATCGACGCAAGGATGATGCTTGGCGATCTTCGACCACACTGGAAAGTTTATGTTTTGGGATACGTCTCATTGGCGACCTCAGGTCTGTCTGTCGCATGGAAATAGAAACGGCCTGAGCGTTGCAGCTGGTCTTTTGTGCCATGCCATTCGGGGATTTACTAAGTACAGAGTTGTTTACGGGGTGGAGGGTAGGATGTCAGATGTTGTCAGTGTCATACTCTGTGAAGAAGAATGTATGTGAATGTCTGTCATTATCACACTAAATGCACAATAACCCGTCAGTCATACCCAGAGATAGATTTTATACCATCCACTGCAAGTCACCGAGAGTAGTATACCGCCAACAAGTCGATCCGCGAACAACCTCAACCCGAAAACCAGGTTCTCATTGCGACGGACGGACGGGGACGGCCGGGCTTCCCTGCAAGATCTGAATCTGAATTCTATCTAAGCGGGGCCCTTCGCTCAATCCTTCTGCTACTACTCTACTGAACTAAAATAGTTCTAATTTCAAGTAGTATCCAAGCAAGTTTTCGTAGATGGATCCAGCTCTGGCACTTAGTGTCAGTGTCCCGCGTCCCGCTGTGGACTGTTGTATCATTATTCATACAGATGGTACGTACGGACTACGGACTAGTTAGTCTACGGAATATGTCGAGCAATGATCCGGCGGTCCGCCACGCGAGAAATGAGATAGTGTCCAGTTCCCCCCAAGTTAATTTTGATAGACGTCGACGTCGAGGTCGAAACATGACGCGCAAAGACAGCAGTCTATAACGACGCAAGGGATGACAAATTGAGGAAGTTTATCCATGCTTCCGTCCACTGAGACCGCACGCCTTGAAGAAGCCTTCGTAGAAACTAAGCAACCATGAACGGCCCAAGCATGGCCTTAGCCTCGCGAGTTCCATTGGCCCTTCTACCCGGCGGGTTGAGGTCTGTTTCTCCGCACTTTTTCTCAATACAGATCGAACTATATCGTTTTCGAAAAGTATATTTCAGAATTCAGATGGGCTAATCCGGTCCACGGGTCTCTGTATGTTTCTAAGGAAACCCTGATGTGCGCTACTATTGGGTGGATCACGTCTGCTTTGGCGGGGTACTCGAGTTGGTGGCTGGTGGTTCAAACTACTTGGATGACTCTGGGTTGTAAACCTGTAACACAGCTTTAAGAAATGAGTAATAGGTTGCGTTGCTGTTAGTGCCGAAAGCAACAGCGTCCCTCACTCTCATCCTAGACGACATCGTTACGTGCCAGTTTAGTTGCATCCTCTGCATGGTCCCTCCCAGCTGCTTCCCTACACCGCTACTCTGAGTGCGTGCACATTGGAACAAACAACTTTTATATGACTATATGCAAACCGAAGGCAATCCCTCTACCTACACCTATAGATATTCTGTACACACTTTTGACTATACTCCGTAATGACGTTGGAAACAGGGAATCGTAAACCCCTCTTGACCTCATCAACTCTATTCTGGTCGCCTCCAGGCCAGACCACTCCCCCTCCGGAGCCGAAATTGACACTAAGGCCGGCTGTAAATCAGGACTCTATCGTAGCGCCTCCAGATCGGTGATCGATCACCCTAAGGTCTCCAAGATGACCCCTCTTCAATGCGCACGGACTTTGTTACAGATCAAAGCTGTGACGACGGCTGGCTGTAACGACCCGGAGCTGTGTCCTCGAGTTCGCCATGCACATGCAAGAGTACCGGTATGTACTCTCGCTGAAACAGGGCGCTTTCCACAAACCAGGTAAGAGGATAAGGGAAACAGATTTTTCGCCTTCCTTACAGTAGACTTAAGACAGAAAAGGGATCGGCCCGAGCTGGAAGAATCGATCCGGTTCCCCCAGCCAGTCACAAGATCAGCGTCCTCTTTAGGTGGAAATTAGATTACTGCACAAGCGCTGCTCCATCGCTGTCAAGCAAACCGGCTTCCTTGACCAGCTCATAGAATTTGCCGCCACGCTTGATCAGGTTTGCGGGCGTGTCAAACTCTGCGACCCCCCCTTGTCCAAGACCACGATTCGATCAGAGTCAATAATCGTATTAATGCGGTGCGCAATCGTGATGATTGTGCGTTCCTGGAAGACGCTGCTTCGCAGGGTGCGTTGGAGCAGCGCATCCGTCTCCACGTCGACTGCCGCCTGTTACAAGCCGTCAGTAAACTTTCATCATGTAAAGGAAGGAACGGTGTAGTCAACGGCCACTTACTGTAGCTTCGTCAAGCACAAGGATATTGCTCGGTGTCAGCAACGCCCGCGCCACAGATACCAGCTGACGCTGGCCCTGGCTAAGATTAGATCCTGTTATAATCACGTTAGACTCGGACTTTTGATTTAAGCAAGGACGTAAGGGGAGGCATGGCGGTGGCAAAAGTGAACTTTACCTCCTTCTTGAATCAGTGCGTCCAGCTGACCGTCCATTTGAGCGACGTGCTCCTTGAGTCTGGCATGTTCTACGCAATTACGGTGTCAGTCAATCAATGCTTGGGCATGTAGCGAGTCGGGCCCAACGTACCAAGGACACTCCACAGCTCCGTGTCATCATGCACATGCCGGGGGTCCAGATTGTCACGCAGAGTGCCCTCAAACATGGCAGGATCCTGGGGAATAATGGCGAGACGTCCCCGCAGGTCAGATAGCCCAATAGTAGATATATCTAGGCCATCGATACTATAACAGACGTCAGAAATTGCAAAGATAACTAGGTCGGGCAGTTGTTCGCACCTGATGTTGCCACCGGCGGCTTCGATGATTCGGAAGAGCGCCAGAGTCAACGAACTCTTTCCTGCACCTGTACGGCCAACAACGCCTATTTTTTCATGAGGTTTAATGTCCAGGTTGATATCCTTGAGCACTAGATCAAGTCCAGGACGGTACCGTGTGCTGTAGTCCTTGAATGTCACCGCCCCTTGAGCGGGCCATCCGATAGCCGGGCGGTTTTTGAAGATAACATCCGGGGCCTCGCTGGGCAGGCTGGCGTACTCAAGAACCCGCTCAACAGACACAATGTTGGTTTCGACTTCGACAGTTTGTCGAACGATCCAGTTCAAGGACTGAGTGATTTGGAGAGCATAAGACATGGCCAAACCGACCATGCCTGCAGATATGCCACTGCCTGTGGCGACCGAGATGATGGCAAGCACCGCGGAAGCCAGAATAATAACGGAACCGATGAATTCCAAACGAACAGCCAACCATCTGTTGGCACTGATGGATGGAAAGTAAGCCCGAAGATTCGCATCCATGCGCCATTCGTTTTCAAGAGCAAATCGGTTCTCCTGTCGGTAGCCGCGAATTGTGGAGATGCCGCCGAGCGACTCCTGGAAGTGAGCATAGATCGGGCTCCTAGTGACGCTGTCCAACCGCTTCAATTCACGCGAGGTTCGCAGGTAGTACTTCTGGTACAGTAGGTAAACATAGCCTAGAGGGAACATCACCAGAATGAAGGCAGGAGTCGACGTAGCAATCACAATCATCGTAGAAAGTGCCTTTGCCGAGTTATTGAACAACTAGCTTTGACGTCAGCAGCGACCAATTGTTAGAGGGCCGGTTTTTCACATACCATGTTGAAAGTACGAGCAAGGACCTCGTCAATCCGATACACATCACTAACCAACGTCGTAAGCCTTCAGATCAACGTCGTTAGAACTGCAGCCTACCTTGAGAATCGATTCAGGATTCGGCCAGACGGAGTAGTCTCGAAAAAGCTCATAGGAGAGCGGAAAATAGAGAATGCCATGCGTTCATGCAGTTTGCGAGAAGCCTGTTGTCGTATTAGTGTGGCTCTTGACCCTGTGATACGATTCAGGCATACCTCAATCGAGCAAAAAATCCAGAGAATCAAATTTTGAAAGATAACCAAGACAGAAGACCCGAGACCCCAAGCAAGGTAGACACCAATGAACTTGGCGACGTTCGGATGAGCCTGCACCTCGCTGGCTTCAGACCACTTCTTTAGCCAGAAACTACCGGCAATTTGCGCCGTCTGCGCTCCCAGAAGCGTGAGCAGGTAGAAGCAGACGGCGATAACATTGCTGTTCTTGGCATACTCTCCGTAAACGCTCCACTTAACTTTACCCTGCTGCGAAGTTTCCTGCGTCTGCTTACTCTTGAGGACGTTCTCTTCGTCCCCAAGCTTACGCCGAACACCGTGCCAACTCGCCGTACTGGCACGCCGTAGCGTGACGGTGCTCGATCTCCGCCGTGTAGTGTCAGCGCCCGATCTGATCGGAAGAAGTGATCCTATTTGCTGCTCAGCTTCCGTATCTGATGGCTCTGACTCTGCATTCTCAAGGACAGTGGTGGATTCCGAGCCTTCAGGACTAGCCAGATCATGGCCGTCACTGCTGGAAGCTTCGTCCTCCGATTCGTTCATGGTTGTGCGTACGAGATTGGACACCTCGCCCTTCATAGCCATCAACTGTTCGTAGGTTCCCTTCTCAATCAAGGTCTTGTTTCTTAGGAGAGCAATAAAGTCGGCCTCTTTCAACACAGGAATGGCGTTGGTGGCCAGGATCCTGGTCTTGCCGCTGAGAAGACCATTCCGACCAAGTACCTTGTTGATGAGGTGACGACCGACGTGCTGATCGACCGCTGAAAGCACATCATCGAGCAAGTAGATATCTGCACGGGCGTATACCGCCCGCGCAAGTGTCAATCGAGCCTTTTGACCACCCGAGAGGGAGATACCCCTCTCACCGACCTCAGTCTGATCGCCATCGGGCAAATTGCGGAAGTCATCAACCAGAGCGCAAGCCTCGACTGTGAGTTCGTAGAACTGAGGATCCCACCGATGTCCGAAAACAATATTCTCACGGACGCTGGCATTCATCACCCATGGTTGTTGCGCGACATAAGCGATACGGCCTCGAACAACAACCTCGCCTTCCGTCTTCCAGAGATCACCCATCATCGACAGAAGGAAAGAGGATTTACCAGCACCGACTCTACCAACAATGCAACTGAGCTCCCCTTTACGAGCGCTAAAGTCAATGCTCTCAATAACATTGTCGCCTTGGTATCTGTTCCAGGTAAACGCCGCATCGCGAATACGGACGGACTCGTCACCAGCATGGGTCACTGGCTCCTCGAATGTGACCGCATTAGGTTGTAGTTCTTCCGCAGTAAAGTAGTCTGTCAGACGCTTCACAGCCACGGACGCTTCAATGATGGA